AATTCAGGACCTGATGCACAATCTTGATGACTATGTCCTTTTACATCATGCTTTGGGAACCTTCTTTTGCCAAGGCCATTTGAATGTTTATAACATCATTTATGAGCCACACAATACAGGCAAATGGGCTGAGGACAGCCAATGAGAAACAGGCCTTTCTGTTTAGCCATGTCACAGCGCCAGACCACATGATTGTGCAGACCTTAGCCTATGGACCACACATACTCCACATATTGCTTTAGATGAATCACTTAACACCTCACTCTCTTCATCTATAAAATGTATACAATTGTATTACCTACTTATAAAGTCTCTCAAAATTTTTAGTGGAATGTTTGTCACTTTGTAAACACTAAATGTTGGCTTTGTTATTCAAATGAATTTGGATAATAAGTGTTCACTTTAAGCAATATTGTGATTACTTCTGAAAAAGGAAGATAACGTTTTTGGGTCCCCTTTTGTTCTTCACTTAAAATTTACTTAAATGAGTGGCTAGAGCAATAGCACAGTGGGTGGGGTGTTTGCCTTGCACATGGCCGACCCGGGTTCGATTCCCAGCATCTCATATGGTTCCCTGAGCACTGCCAGAAATAATTCCTGAGTGCATGAGCCAGGAGTAGCATCATTGGTTGTGACCCAAAAAGAAAAAAAAAAGATTTTACTTGAATGAATACTATGTAGAATGTTACATGTCACCTATCTTACAGTTCAAATTGGTCATAGAAAACATTTTTGCTTCATGAGCAGATTAGTTTTAGAAAGGAGTTATTTATTTGTTTAAAAAAGAAGCCACACATTCATTACTGACAGGAGCTGAGTGATAGTACAGCAGATAGGGTGTTTGCCTTGCATGTGACTAATCTGGGTTCAATTTCCAGCCTTCATATGGTTCCCTGAGTCTGCCCGGAGTGATACCTGAGTGCAGAGCCATGAGTAAGCCCTGAGCACTGCCAGGTGTGGCCCCTCAATTCCCCCCCCCCCCCCCAAAGAAAGCAAACCAAACAACCAGTCCAAACAACAAAAACTGAAATAAATCACATTATTGACAGAGCATTCCAATTTTGAAGCCATTGCTACTGTTGAGGTGGTATCTTAAAGGTTGGAACTCTATTTCCAGTCCTGCTTGTTACTCTAGGTTCAGGCTTCCTAGAGAAATGTTTATGTGATCCTGGGTATATAAAATGCAAATCAAATATTTACTGATTATAGATCTTTAATTTGGGAGTGGGTCATCTATATTTGTACTCAGGACCTATTTATTTATTTTTTGGCTTTTTGAGTCACATCCAGTGATCCTCAGGGTTTACTCCTGGCTCTGCACTCAGAAATTACTCCTAGTGATGCTTGGGAGACCATATGGGATGTTGTGGATAGAACCTGGGTTGGCTGCATGAAAAACAAATGCCCTACTTGCCATACTTTTTTTGTTTGTTTGTTTTACTTTTGGACCACAACTAGTGATACTCAAGGGTTGCTCCTGGCTTTGTGCTCAGGAATCACTCCTGGCAGTGCTCCTGGCGGTGCTCTGAGGACCATATGTCTGTGCTTGGGATCAAACCCAGGTCACCCATATGCAAAGCAAGTGCACTCCTTGCTGTGCTGTTGCTCCAGTTTTTGTGTGTAGGGATCACTCTTGGCAGTGCCTATGGGACCACAAGTGGTACTGGGGATTGAACCAGAGTTGGCTGCATGCAAGGCAAGCATTAAACCCAATACTATCTTGTGGAATGAAGAAATTTATCTTAAAACAAAAATTTAAAAAGTTGTGTGATCTTATATGGGGTGTGATGTAAGGCTTATAGCTAGAGGCCAGAGAGATGCTCAGCAGTCTAGAGTACATGCTTTGCATGCTGGAGGCCAGGATTTGATCCCTGGTACCCCAAAGTTCCCTGCACAGAGTTAGGTGTGGCCCCTTAAAGCAAAACCAGACCAAACCAAAAAAAAAAAAAAACCAAGAAATTAGTTCTAGACTGTTTTTACTGCATCACTAATTTAGATTTGAACTCCCAGTGCATTCATATTTCTTAAGACCTTGAGTTTGACTAGAACATATAGCACAGTGGTAGGGTGTTTGCCTTGTGCTCAGCCTGCCCGGCTGAGCCGGGTTCGATTCCTCTGCCCCTCTCGGAGAGCCCAGAAAGCTACCGAGAGTATCTCGCCCGCACAGCAGAGCCTGGCAAGCTCCCCGTGCCGTATTGGATATGCCAAACACAGTAACAAGTTTCACAATGGAGACATTACAGGACCCACTCAAGCAAATAGATAAACAGCGGGAGGACAGTGCTACAGATGATTTACTTGTATAGCATGAAGTAATACTTGAAATTGTAATACTGTAATACTTCAAAAGGGCTGGAGCTATAGCACAGTGGATAGGGCGTTTGCCTTGCATGCGGCCAACCCAGGCTCGATTCCTCTGCCCCTTTTGGAGAGCTCGGCAAGCTACCAAGAGTATACTGCCCGCATGGCAGAGCCTGGCAAACTCTCCATGGCGTATTTGTTATGCCCAAAACAGTAACAACAAGTCTCACAATGGAGAACTTACTGGTGCCTGCTCGAGCAAATCAGTGAACAACAGGAGGACAGTGCTACAGAGCTACAATACTTAAAATAATTTGACATAACAGTGAAATTTGGGCAAGTATTATTGAGTATGCTGAAACATGTTACTTGACCCAAGTTAATTTTGTGATGAGTATTATAAAATCATAAAGTGCTAGTTTAAATTGAGAGAAGTCTGGAAAGTAGATAGCTTGTAATACGTATTTCAATTATGTACTGTTTGAATATAAACACAATTTCCTTAAAAAAAAACCCAAAGTTTTATTGTAATATGAGTGCGAAGCATTGTAAGTGACACTAAAGTTTCTACAAACATTTTTATCCAAACTCCATTTAATAATACATGTTACCTTTCTCTTTAATCATTTTATTTCCAATGTGGCTTTTCCTGCATAGCAGTTCATAATAGATTTTGTATACAAATCTTTGTACTTATGTTGTATGTACTTTCATCTGATTCTTTTTTTATTTTTTCATCTGATTCTTTCCTTCTGCCATGTTAAGCAGTGCTCAGGAGGTTGGGGGGCCAGTTTGGGCCATAGGGTCAGCTCAGCACAAGGGCCCACGGATACCATGCTGCTTGAAGCCTGTAGTGTTGGGGATACTGGGCCACCATGTAGTGTTCTGGGGACCATTTGGTGCTGGAATCAAACCTGGGTTGGGCACCTGCTAGGCATGCACCCTAACTCTGTATTGTTTCTTGACCTCTCTTGCTCTCACGCGCTCTCTCTCCCTCTCTCTCCCTCTCTCTCCTTCCTCTTGTATGTTCAAGACATGTCATGTGACTGAATCACATCCCCTGCCCTTTCTTCTAGTGCTTCCAATAGTTTTAACATTTTTTTTCCTTTTTGAGTCACACCCAGCAATGCACAGGGGTTACTCCTGGCTCATGCATTCAGGAATTACTCCTGGGGCTACTTGGGGGACCATATAGGATGCTGGGAATCGAACCTGGGTCAGCTGCATGCGAGGCAAATGCCGTACCCTGTACTATTGCACCAGTGCCAACATTTATGTTTTTAATGTTCATGGAATTAATTTCTGTTGTATGAAGTGGAGTGTATTTTTTGCATCGGTTTTTTAAACCCAAATTCTGTTTATTGAACTATTTATCCTTAAATTTTTTTTCCTATAGCTTTAAATGATTGCTAGTCCTTGTGAAATCATATTGATATAGTTTTGGGGTACAAATCTCTCCCTCTCACCCCCGCCCCATAATTCCCTGGGCTTTATGTAGTAATATCCAGTGACATTGTAGACGCATTGTTTTCTGAATGAAGTGAACAAATAACCACACTAAATGAGATGCATATGGCAAATAAGTGATCACTCTTAGATCAAGCTAGATTTTATTGTTTGGTAAAAGCTTATGTATAAGACCTTGTGTTTCAACTCTGGCACCCTTTGGGTCATCTTCCCTCCATCTTCCTCACTGGAAACAAGTTATTTAATTTTTACCTCACAGAAAGGGATTATGATGATTTAACTTGCTAATACGGAGGCATCTTCCTTTTCTACTTGATTTTAGATTGTTTTGAAATACAAATACTGTCCTTTCGTACGTTTACTATTCTGTTTAATTTTTAGAGATGGTTTGTTGAAGAACCCTGTAGAGATTTTCATTAGGATGTGAAGCAGCTGGGAAAGTATTGACATCATGATGGGGTTTGCCTTTTCATTTGCTAGCATAGGTTACTTTTGTTCATGGGCTGGAGCGATAGCACAGCAGTAGGGCGTTTGCCTTGCACACAGCCAACATGGCCGACCTGAGTTCGATTCCTCCGCCCCTCTCGGAGAGCCCGGCAAGCTACCGAGAGTATCTCGCCCGCACGGCAGAGCCTGGCAAGTTCCCCGTGACGTATTCGATATGCCAAACACAGTAACAGCAAAGTCTCCAATGGAGACGTTACTGGGCCCGCTCGAGCAAATCGACGAACAACGGGAGGGCCTTTTTTATTCTTTCAGTCATTGCTTGCATGCACATTTTTAGATTATCTCAAAGCATGTTTACATTTTTGTTGCCATTGGAATAGAAATTTTAAAAAGTTGCACTTTCTACTTGTCATTCTTGATGTAGAATCAAATATTGATATTTATATATTAATATTATGTCTTGTTGGGGTCAGTTTTAGTTGTCAGTTGATATCAGATTAGGCTTTCGTGTAGTTGCAATTTTGAGTTTTATCTTCTGCTAGTCAGTGTCTTATTAATCTCTTGTTTTTCTTTTCTGTTTGATAGAGCTTCATATTTCAGTTTTGAGAACTGCGTGATGTTTTAAAAATGTTAGTTACGAAGTAAATTGTGCCACAGTCAAATTTGAATGCATCAGGTTAAACAGCTTATAGAAGGGGAGATGGTCTTTGAATATGTATAATAAAGTTTCTGAGAAGGGATATGCTTACCACTGGAGAATTTAATGTATAATCTTTTCTTTACAGATATGGTGTGAAATATTTCTGCAAGACTTGATAGCTGAAGACCTGTTTCTTCTGATTAACCTTAAGCCAACTTAGAGCCATAGAAAAGCCTCACAGAGTTCCACGTTTTGCTTTCTGCTTTACACCTTTTCTGGCAACTAAGTTAATCCTGCCACCATGTATGGAAGTGCGCGCTCAGTTGGAAAGGTGGAACCAAGTAATCAGAGTCCAGGGCGTTCACCAAGGCTCCCACGCTCTCCTCGCTTGGGTCATCGTCGAACCAATAGTACAGGAGGGAGTTCTGGAAGCACCGTTGGAGGTGGCAGTGGGAAAACCCTTTCCATGGAGAACATCCAGTCCTTAAATGCTGCCTATGCCACCTCTGGCCCTATGTACCTAAGTGACCATGAAAATGTGGGATCAGAAACACCGAAAAGCACCATGACACTTGGCCGTTCTGGAGGACGTCTGCCTTATGGTGTTAGGATGACTGCTATGGGAAGTAGCCCCAACATAGCTAGCAGTGGGGTTGCTACTGACGCTATAGCCTTCGGAGAACACCACCTTCCTCCTGTGAGTATGGCATCGACTGTACCTCACTCTCTGCGTCAGGCAAGAGATAATACAATCATGGATCTGCAGACACAGCTGAAGGAAGTATTGCGGGAAAATGATCTCCTGCGGAAGGATGTAGAAGTAAAGGAGAGTAAATTGAGTTCCTCAATGAACAGCATCAAAACTTTCTGGAGCCCAGAGCTAAAGAAAGAAAGAGCCCTGAGAAAAGATGAAGCTTCCAAAATCACTATTTGGAAAGAACAGTATAGAGTTGTGCAGGAGGAAAACCAGGTTAGTTTCATACGTATGTTTCTTTGTATTCTAGATTTCAGCATATGAGTGAAGTGAGCCATTCTAACTCTTTCTTGTTTAGGTTTTCCCTCCTTGGTTCAGTTATTCCCTGGTGATTTTAGTATTTTCTGCCCTTCATTTCTAAGTCTTTTCCAAATTTGGTCCTAATTTTATTTTCTGGTTGCCATGTCTGCTTTCTTTCCATTCTTGCTTTATTTCTTTTCTCTGGCTTTTCTTTCTACTCCCCCTTCTTTTCTTTCCCCATATGTTATTATTTTTCCAGTTCTTGTGAGAACAGAATTTTACCATATTCTCTGAGATTAATTATAAAAATTATTCATATTATGTAAATGAAATTTGAGTTGTAGCATTAAGGTTTACTATAATAAATTAAAAGTCAATCAAATAAAACTATCAAGGTAGATAGAGCATACTTGCATAGATGTGAACCTCCGGCACCCACAGTTAAAAAAAAGACTTTCCTAAAGATACATTAGTATGTTGATAGCATGGAACAAAAATTACTTAACAAAAATTAAAATTGGGATGGGGACTTAGCTCAAAGGACCAGAGCGCATGTTTTGTGTGCAGGGAGCTCTGGTTTGATCTCTGGCACCACAAAGTGTCCCACACACCATTCAGAGTGTCCCCAAGCACTAAGCCAGGAGCAGCTCCTGTGTATCATCGTGTATGGCCCAAAATACAAACAAATATGAAAGTTTACATTTGTGACATAAATATTTGTAAAGCACAAATTATGATTTCACTTTGAAATAAAAATTGAAATAAAACTGTAGCTTCAGGATCCTTTTCTCCCTTGCCTCTCTTCACCCTGGCAGAGAAATATGGTAAGCCCCATCATTATCTCGCACTGAAGTGCTTAAGTCAATGCTAATTCTTCATCTACTTAAAAACAAAAAACGGGATACAAAATGGTCACTTACCAATTTGCAGTGGCATCCTCTTCCTTTGGTTTCTTTTTGACCTCCATAGAACTGAGGCCAGTTTCAGATCATACCTAGGAAGCTCCCAGTGCATCCCAACATCAGGTAGAACCAGATGTGCTGTAGGGGCTCCATCTGTAGCATGAACAGCACCATCAGAAGCGTGTGACCCATGGTAACCTTGTTCCAGGAATGAAGTCAGCATGTACTGTAATTATTATAGAGACAAACATGTATTCATGAAACCACAAGCACATTAATTAATCTTGATAGAATGAAGGAGCCCATTACATACCTCTGGAGTTTTAGCATTCATGTTCCTACTCAAGTCTGTTATTAGGTAGATATTACACTAAGACATTATCTCCAGGGTGAGCAGAGAGAGAGAAAGAACGAGAGAGAGAGAGAGAGAGAGAGAGAGAGAGGTGAGGATTTGCTCTGTAACTGCTCTCTTTCTACCTTCTCTTCTTGTGCAGAGATTCTCTCTACATAAGTACCCAGATAGATTCCTGTGTTATTCCAAAGACAGGAAAGAAACAAAAAAGCTTTCCTGTATTCTCTTTTACTCCCCTCTTTTTTATTTTTATTTTTATTTTGTGGTACCAGTGATTAAACCCAGGGCTTCTACATGTAGGGCAAGTTCTCTATCTCTGAGTTACATTCCTTGCCTCTCCCCTGTATTTTTAAGAGAGAATTTTGAAGTGGTGAACTTATTGACCTTATTGGTGACATTATACTTGATATTACGTTAGGGTCAGATTAATAAAGATGAAATAATTCAATTTATTTTGGTTTCTGCAGTGTTCTTGAATTCCAAGAATTAAAAAGGATTTGGAAGTTATCTGTCCATGGCCAGGGAAAACAGGGATTAAGAGGACTGGTCAGTGGTTGAAACTAACCACAAGGATGTGTGGGGCTGAGGTAGGTAAGATAGAGAAGAGGCCAGTATGACAATAATAGCTAGGAATGATCACGCTGGACAAGATCTGAGGGTTAAAAGTAGGTAAGGGATATTCTTTGAACTTTTCAGTATCAATATTGCAAACTACAATGCCCAAAATGGACGGGAGGGAAGGAGTAGGAGAGAGAGAGAAAGAGGGAGGAAGGGAGGGAGAGAGGGGAGGAGAGGGGAATGGAGGGGAGAGGGGGGAGGGAGGGAGGGAGGATTAAAGCACCTACCATAGAGGCAGGCAGGGGGTGGGGGTGGGCGTGGGGGTGATGGGAGGGAACCTGGGGGACTGGTGCTAGGAAATGTACACTGGGGGAAGGATGGGTGTTGGAATACTGTATGACTGAAATCCGATCATGAACAGCTCTGTAATGGTCTGTCTCACAGTGACTCAATAAAAAAGTTTAAAAAAAAAACCTGTGAAAGGAAAGAAATGAACTTAAACAGACATGGTGGTAGATCTTAAAAGTAAGAAGATTCCTCAGTGTCAACAGGCATATGAATTCCTAGACTTGTTTTATACTGAGTAAATACCTCTGGAGATGACACTAGAGCTTTTATATGTAAATGTGTATATAAATAATTATTAATTGGATATTAATTAAATATTAAATCTATATGTGTGTGTATATATATGTATGTATAGGGTCTCCCAAGTAGTTCTCTGGAGGTCTGGGTGTCCCTCCCTTTGATTCTCAGCCAACGGGGCTACCTCCTCAATGTGTGGTCCTAATGATGTCATGGATTTTGGACCCTGTGGTGTAAGGAATTACCAGGATTTTTTGGACCTTTTGATATTATGAATTAACCAGGCTACTCCAGTTGGTGGCCCAGGGACCATGTGATGCCCAGATTGAACCAAGTTTGGCTCATGCAGGGCATGTGCCTTCATCCCTCTACTATCTCTGTAGCCTTAAACCTGTATTTTAAAGAAGCGTCTCTGGTGAGTCGGCTGATAAACCGGTTTTTTGAGTTTTAGAATTAAGAACATCTTATTCTTCACACGACTGGTCATTTGCTTAGGAGTATTTGATGGTTGTGTAGTACCACTTATTAGCTCACTTGTGAAAGAAAGAAAAAGAAAAAAGGGCCATTCTAAGATTGCATCTTTTTTCCCTCCTATATTGTACTAGATGCCATTGCATAGTCATCATTTGAGCTCTCACAGTGGCCTTCCATAGAACGAATGTGTGCCATGAAAGGGTGTATACAAAATCTAGATATGACTGGGGGTGTGGCTTAGTGGTCGAATACCTGCCTCAGATGTGTGTGTGATTATCATTGTGGGGGAAACACCAGTGCTTGGAGACCCAGGTTAGTGCTCAGAGGACATTTGGTGCAAGAAAGTTGCTCTACCACTGAGCCATATCTTTAATCCTACCTTGAATTTGTGAGGTCCTGGGTTCAGTACCCAGAGCTGAATTTAAAAAATTTATATACGTGTAATTTTAAAAAAGTCATGTAGGTGACTTGGTGTATTCTTTCCTTGAGAGTCATTGGTGCACGAGATAAAATAAACATAATATAAGTCAGTAGCAGTAGCACAGCAGGTAGGGTGTTTGCCTTGCACCCGGCCAACCCAGCGGACCCAGGTTTGATTCCTCCGCCCCTCTCGGAGAGCCTGACAAGCTACCAACAGTATCTTGCCCACATGGCAAAGCCTGGCATGCTACCCATGACATATTTGATATGCCGAACACAGTAACAAGTGTCACAATGGAGATGTTACTGGGCTCACTCCAGCAAATCGATGAACAACGGGAGGACAGTGACAGTGACAGTATGTCAATAGAGTGGAGCAATGCTTTGTTTTTGATTTAGCATTTAGGTTGTGGAGTGAAGTATTTAGTTTGTGAAAAGTGAAGTACAGCAGCAAAAGATACTAGTTTTGTTATTTATTGAATTCTGCATACCAGAAAAGAAAAAAGTAAGTTTGCTTTTTTTAGATTTGTGATAGTAAATCAACATAGTATAGGTTTTAGAAGCTGTATACCTAAAGTTAGGTTCTTTTACGTTTATAAAATGGGACTGATAAATTTGCAATATCTACTGTTGCTTGAATGTGAAGTACTTAATTACAACAATTTTTATTTATTAAACTCACATTGCATTATGTTTCATTTGTGCATCATTGTATATATACTAAATTTGTATAAAAGTTTATATGTTTCAATTTTATCCTCTATTGTTGTTCCTTTTTTCCCCAATTAAGTATTTCATATGTATTTATACAGTAAGTGGACTAGATTATCTGGTGTCAAGTGTATTGTTGATAAAAATCACAGCCTCTTTTCATTTATCTGAAAAGTAGCTGACACAACTTTTTATTACAATATTGTATAAAAGTTGCTCACAAATAAACACTTCCCTTAAGACTCTCCTGTAAGAAGGAAGTGTCATTATGTGTCTGTGTTTAAAGAAAGTGTATGTATGTTTATAAAGTAAAATGTTTTTAGAAGTTAAATTGGGGTTACTGGATTTATCTCTGAATTAGCCTCCAGTGTACCGTGATAATGATACTGTAAATACACCTATCTACAGCTCACAGTAATTCAAAATAAAAAATGAACAAAGCAAAAAACAATGGCAGTGTTCTCTAATTATCAAGCTGAAGGCATGCAGTAGTTTAAATCTTCTGAAGATGATGTAGGGAACTCAGCAATTCAGTCCAGTGAAAGTGAAACAATCTACAGGGCTGGAATGCCAAGAAAACCATATGTTCTGAGGAAGGGTGAATACTGCCTTATCTAGATTCCGCCCCTTGCCCTAATTGAGCACCAATGCTGGCAGGAATATATTCTTCCTGCACCACTATAATTACCACACAATCCTAAAATTGTATAACATTGGTCCAAAAAACGAAGGGTGCAATTTTAAAGTAAAGTGAAGCACTGCAATGAGATATAGAGAACCGAGGATGCTAATTAATAGATTATAGGGACCCAGCAGTGGGCCCTAATTAAGCTCTGCATTCATTATACCCTCCATAGCCCTCAGAGGTCGGACATTTTCCACTTTTTAAAGAAGATTGGTTTAATAGGATTTACAGTAATTAAACAGATTTCCCCAATTCAGTTTGAGACTGGGGATTTAGATCCAGTATAAAT